ATTATATGTTTATATATATTATAAATATTTATACATTAACTATATACAGTAGAGAATAGAGCGCATAATGTGTCTATATGTTAATCCATATATACATATATTCACATATGTATATATATTATATATATGCATATATGTATATATAGACATAAACATATATGTATATGTATATATACATACTGTATATATGAGTTGAAAGAGAGCAGATAAATATAGCATCAGAAAGGTCATCTTGGGAATAACCTGTGGCTAACCCGACATGTTAATTTGACGTCAACAAGTGTAATCACGCGTGTTTGCATAGGGGGACGTGATGTCCACATGTGTGCTCGTCCCCCTGTGGCTGGACGTCTCCCATCACTTCTCTCCTACTTTTCTGCACGGGATGATGACATTCACCATGATGTTGTCATTTTTTTTTTATTTCTTCTCCTGGTTTCATTTGTAATCTGTTCCACTGGTGTTTCTGCACATCGGCTTTGGCAGAATCAGGCCAGGGTAAGACCCCGAAGTCGTTGCAGGCTGTAAATTGGCTTCCATTTCTCTAACAATGTCCCTGCAGGCGCATCGTGAAAGCGCACACAGTATGTACTGTAGGTTTAGTATAATCGTAGCATGGAGAACAATAGAGCTCAATGAAACGCTGCAAAATTAGCTAACAACCATGAGACTTATTCATTTTTTTTTACCCTTTGTTTTTTTTTTCAAACGTGCCGTACGAAGTGACACTAAAGGGAAATCTCTGCCCCAGCGTTATGACAATTAGTCCAGATATAAGGATCCTCAAGGCACCCGGCTGTGACATCATTAGATGCCTTGCTTCATGAAAGTGTGGAATAATGCGGAACAATCCTGGGAATTCCTCACCTTTGCACTTACACTGAACAAATATGCAAATAACCAAGGATGCAAATAAACCTCGAGAGAGTGATCCANNNCCCCCCCCCCCCCCAGAGTCCCCCCACATTTCCATTCACTTTCCCCAGTATGTGTAAAACTCTGACACGCCACTCATCTAAAATTAGAAGTGCAGGCAGTGAAACATGTCTTCAGTGTGTGCTGCAGACTGCAAGAGCTCCAGCAGTATATTTCAGATTTTACATCTCTTAAACTGCAACTTTTCTTTTTTCAATCTGCGGCCTGTTTTAAAATATGGAAGTGGATCACTTCCATATTTTAGAACAAATCCAATCATTTTAGTTTGTAACATTAAGAGAGAAAAAGTGTGGAAATCATTTTTCCCCCTGTGGAATATAAAAACCTCCATGTGTGGCTTCACGTTGTGTCTGTATTGTTCCATGGTTGAATAACTGAATTTTCTGCTGCCGAGTATCTGATAGGCAGCATAATTCTCCCACTCTTGAACCCACACATTGGGGTGGGGGGGTGGATTGCAGTAATTTTTCTAATACAAGGGCTGTAATCACGCCGTCAAAACTGTCCCATACTTAGGAACGGCATTGTGGGAAATACAAGGCCTGCAGGCAACCCTGCGGGATAATTGAGGGCGTTGAGTGGTGGCAGTGATGTTTTTTCTGATGAAAGATTGAACGTTACTCTGCATCTGAGAGGAGGAGGAGGCTGAGTATCGACCCTCGACTGTATGAAGACTAAAGGGCCAAGGCCGGGATCTGAGGTTATTGATCAGGACTGAAAGCAGAGCAGCCGGCGCTGCGTTCAGGTGATTCTGTGGGAGAGGCCAACAGAGGTCATCCGGCAGGTCATAGGTCAGGCGGGGCCAAATCAGGTCACGTCACGAGACTTGGTGTATCTGATACGCTCAAACTGAATCGGTATTCAGGGTAATTTAGATGTCGTTTCAGGTAAAGAGTGTGGATGCACCAACTCCAGTCCTGTGGTGAGTATCAGGCCTCATACAGAAAAATATACACCCATCCAGAGACCAGAGACTGTGTACAGGGGGTTTTCGACTTCGAGTCAGAGTTGGGTTCTAACCTCACTCGAGTTAAGTCACACAATGGGTTAACAGGGTCAACCTCCAGAGGATCATTTTGAATATCTGAAAGGTTTCACAAAGATAAATAGAGACTGTGTACAGGGGGTTTTCGACTTTGCGTCAGAGTTGGGTTCTAACCCTAACTTGAGTTAAGTCACACAATGGGTTAAACCTTTTAAAAATATATATTTTAAAAGTTGTCTCATCGACAAAAAAGTCACAGCACCCTACTCTGGCCAAAAACAGTTGATTGGATGCACAAAGACGTGAGGAGTGAACTTCAGACCAGGGTCAACCTCCAGAGGATCATTTTGAATATCTGAAAGGTTTCACAAAGATAAATAGACGATGATCATTATTTTTCTGGAATTGTTTTTTTTTTTTTCTAAATCACGCCTTTACATGGATATGGAATCGATTTATTTAGCTCATATTACACTGTGTCTGTCCCCACGTCTCCTGATACAAAAACAACCCTGCAGATTTTTATTTCTGTATTCCATGTTGAAGTGAGGAACATCCTAAATTAAGAAATAATGTGTTTCAAAGCAGCTTTTTTTCATATTCAAGCTCTTGGGAAAGAATTTAAAATCTTCTTTCTAATAATGCTGTCCTAAATCGAAGATCTGTTTCTTGTCATATAATAAAATATATTACAAAGCTGACCATGACTGTATTCATCACAGTCACTAATGTGTTGGAGTGACACAGCTGCGATCACTTTGACTCGAGCAGACATTTTTTTCACAGTCTTTGCGGCATTTTTCTCTGCCCACATTCAAACAAAACTCAGGATTTCACCACTGACTTCTTCACAGTTCCAATAAGAATTTCAAAAAAATTCACAGTGATTTTCACAGCAGTTACAGATCAAATTGACTCTGGTTGATAACACAGAGACACTCCCATTAGAAATGTATAATACCTGGACAATGAGAGTGCATCTATGAAGGGAAATAAAGCCAGACCTGTCAGCTCTGGACACTAAGCTGACGCTGTGTTTCTAAAGGAAGCAGATTATAGAGCGACAGGAAATGTCCCAAATCGAGGGCTGTGTATTTCAGTACAAAATCACCATTCAATCAACAAATATATATATATTTTATAGGACAAACTTAAACACAAACTAAAACAAAAGTACAAATTCAATGATCTGTTTTGACTGACCAAAGAAAACACATGGTTTGATTCTCTGTGGTTGTTGGAAAGTCACTGCAATATGGCTGCCTAACAGAACTCTTCAACCTTGGCTGCAATATGTGAATTCAATAAGCAAAACATAACAAGTTTAAGGAATAAATTAAGCGTAAAAAATCTCCAATCTTTGTAGGTCTTGGAGCCCTAATCCTTCAGGTTTGGTATCATTGAAAAGCCCCAAATGTTTAGAGTTATGTTGTCCATATACATGTGGCCTGGTGATGCCTTGCCTTTGAACAATGTCAGCCGGGATCAGCTCTAAACCCAGTGACGCGTCACAGAACAAGGTTAAGGAAATGACTGTCTTGTGTTTAGCACAAACTCCAGAACAATTTGTGAAGTGTAACATTGTTGACTTGACCTTCTATTAAACCTCGCTCTTCAGGCCAACGATTTCCTGTTTCATGTCCAAACAATAGAAATCTCTACATATTTTTCTCAGTCTGTGTTTGAAATCAAATGTGACGTCAATCAGTCTTGTGTCCGTGGATGGATGGATGGATGATGGATGATGGATGATGGATGGATGGATGGATGATGGATGAATGGATGGATGGTTGGATGGTAAGAAGTCACTGAGTTCTACCAGTCTACAAAGACCACCTGTAACACGTGACTCGATAGAATTCGGACTTCTTTATTGACTTCTTTTACTCACATACAATCAAAGGTTAGATCAATATTCATTGGCGTTAAATTCTACCGACACGACACTCACGACGTGATGAGACGGACACTTTCACAACGGCAAAGAGACGGTGCTTCCTTCACTGTAATAAACAACCGGTCAGAACTTTGTACCCATCACAGCAACGAGTGAAATAACATTGGTTTGATATTGCATATTTATGCTAAAGGTGAAATGACATGCAGTGCCAGTTATCGCAGCTTAACAATAAGTATAAGTACATGTTATCGGTGTAGTACAGTGGTATTCTGTCGCTAACTCACAGCACCATCTGGATACATTCATTAGAAAAGAGAAACACACACACCTACTGAGGGCATTTGTACGTACGGAATGCGATAGGAGGGTGAACTGATGTGATGTTGCCCCTGAGGTTGCTTTGTAGCTCAGACTTGTGATAAAGAAAGTGTCTGTGATCCGATCTGAGCTCCAACAGCAGTAACCTGACTGACGCTTGTGCATATCATGAACAACACTGTGCAGACTCCACAATGACCCACGCTGCTTCGTACTGTTGGTGCCCCTAGTGTCATGCTGAACGTCTTTAGAACAGTATTTGTGTCTTCAAGTCTATCGCAGTCAGTTCTCAGTGACGGTGGCTCGGTACTACAGTACAGTGCTGTCTCTCCTACTTCCCTGACTGTGCTCCTGCAGTATTTTTAGAGGCGGTACTTCCTCAGGAGCTCCGACTGCCACATGTATTTCCTCTCTGGGAAATGGTCAGGGATCCTGATACGCCGGAAGTCCTGGATGCACTTCTCCAGCTCCTGCTGCGGAGTCATCTTCTCCTTGTTCGTTTTCCTCTTGGTAGCATCCCGCTCCCGGACGCCGAAGGTTCTCACGCGGAGCATGTCAGTTTTGCGCCGCATCTCCGTCTGCTGCATCATGTGCATCGGCCCTTTCAGGACCGGACGGTCCAGCGTCTGGATGTTAGTGGGTCGTCTCACCGGGCCGCAGATCACGGTTCCTTGAGGGGAACTTGCCTCCGACTGGGTCTCAGAGCAGGAAGTGGACAAGTCGTTGAAGGAAGTGCCACTCTCTCCCTCACGCTCACTTTTGTGGCTCTTGCAGCAGCAGTCACAGTGAGAGGACGACCATCTGGAGGGCCCACCTGGGGACACACACACACACACACACACACACACACACACAGTCATGTTACCTTAAAACTGGGCCATCCAAAAAAAATTTTTTTTTAAGTAATGTGTGTGGGGCTGTGAGGGGTTTCAGAGAGAATCTTCATAAACGCTCAGATCAGTGGTTGACTGGTTTCAGAAGTTTGTAAACCAACACTACATCAACCCAATACTCTGGATCTATTGGCTATTGGTCCATACTTCAGCATCTCACGTCACTGATGTCTTCAGGCTGAAGCCAGTTGTTAGCAAACCTGAGGAAAATGTTTGACCCTCTGTTTTGGATCACTGCCAAAGTACCAGGAAGAAGAATCACTTTTGGCTCGTCATCAGAGTTCGACACGGTAACAATCACAGAGTGATTATCACCAGACCCTCCTTGTTAAACCCAATCAGAGGTCAGAGACCAGGTGAAACCTTCTGCATGACAAGTGGGATTTCCTCCCACAGTTCAACTCCAGCTCCGTCATATCTTAATTTTAGAATGAGACGAAAACCACAAGAAGTCGTTGTGCCATAATTGGCCACCAGGGTTAACTTTGGAGGTGCCAGATTTCCCACTTGATGCAGAAAGATGGTGAAGTCACGCCTGTCTGTGGAGGTGGTGACAGATTCCCCCGCTAATCAAAAGAAACACTTGTACTGACCGAGCAGAGCTGACAAATGCCAACGCAGCAGTTTGGGTGTCATTCAAATATCTTTAAATAAGAGCGTGTGTGTGTGTGTGTGTGTGTGTGTGGTTTAGATTGACATCTAAAAGCTGAATCTAGAGTTGGTTGTGTTTATTGCGTCCTCTGTTAAGGACCAGAGGGCTGAGTGCAGTTCACTGTGATCCTTTAAAGTCCTGTATCATTTCCCAAGACAAACCTTAGCCATTATGGTCTCTTATTAGAGCCGTAAAAGAAGGCAGTTCACATCCTGTCCTGTGTTCAGATCACTCAGTCATGAAACATGAAAACAAAAATATTCTTCTTACACCTTGAGGGAAACATTAGGGTCAAAAAAGAAGAAAAGAACGGTATCTCAGGTGGTAACAGAACCAGGTCAGGAAACAACGGAGTGAAAAGATGTGCCTACAGAGACTGCAGGTGTCTCGACCTCATGTCACACTGCAGACGAGCAGCGAACCAGCGAACCAGCGACCAGCAGAGGAATTTAATGACCTGTGTCTTTTTTTATATCTGGTCTCACATCCTTCAATGCCACTAATTAATCACTGCACTGCACTGCACTATACTGTACTGCACTGTACTGTACTGTACTGTACTGTACTGTACTGTACTGTACCTCCTGCCTCGTGAAGTGTTCAAAAGAGAAGAGTAAATACAGTGGCTTCCCGCTGTCTGAGCTGCGGTCCCATTAAAGGGCACTAACAGGTGGAAAGGTGTGCTGCTGAAAACTGCTTGGCTTGCTGCAGTATAAACAGCAGTGTATGGAAAACAAAGTCGAGCGGCAGGAGGATAAAGCGGCCTTAATAGCTTTTGCGCTGCGATGATACAGATTCAATAGCAATGATATCTCAGAGGGAGCAATAATTTGTCCATTACCTCCTCCCAGTGAAGGCACCAATTTATATTGAGCAGAGTTCAAGGGAGATTTTAACCTCTCTGCGCACGCTGTAATAACGACCTTATCTCCAGTGCGATGATTGCATTGGGCTGATAGTGAGAGAGTCACTAACAGCTTTTTAATGGCTAATCCATGGGTAAAGAGGCCAATCAGTGCGCCAATTCCCCCCTCCCCTCCCTGCTCCCTCCCCACACACTGAAAATGAAGCTCAAATGGATGGAGTGGCATCAGCAGAGGAGGTTGGTGGGAGAGAAAGTTTGACTTAAATTAATGAATGAAATCATGAATAATCAGGCTCTAAGGTCGCCGTCAGAGGCAGGAAGCAGCTAAAAGCCTTGTCAGGAAACATACTGCCGTTCCTGGGGCGCGTATAAACAAGTAGCCGGCCCTAATACACGTTGATATCTTTTCAGGGAAGCCATTGATTGCATTGTGTTTTTCTCAGATCTATAACAGTCTCCCTGAGAGATCATATTCCAACCACATTAAAAGACTGGGACCAGTCTCTAGCTGTGTCTGCACTTCTCATGAATAACACAGAAAGGGAAACTAAGTTGTGCGCAGGCGTGAAAACGCTCTCCGGCTCTCCTCGGACATGTCTTCGTACCTCCTGAGTTTTGCGCCCCGTGCCTGAGAGGCTTGTTGGTGTTATTTAACAGGAAAATTAGATTTTAATGTTATGTAGTTTTGAATGGCATTAAAGTAGGACATAATAAGCACTGGAGGCGAACAGGCCTGACAAACTAATAATCAAATGCCACAGAGTGCCTTCTGGACTTTAAAGAAACACAGAACTATTCATTCTGGGGTTGATGAGAATTTTGGAAGGTGGCTCTAAGAAAACAGGAGCAAAACTTACTGTTAGATTTGTTTTGCTAGATCGGAGAGAGTTTGTTTGATTTATTTTATCCTTTACTTTATCCCCTAGGCAGAATGTTAGGTTTTAATGTTGTTTGATTTATTTTATCCTTTACTTTCAAAGTGAATAAAATGTTTTTTTTTGTGGGTTAAATAATGAGCTAATCATGTTAAAGCTCTGCTCACTTTCTGTTCAGCCACCTGTGTCCCCTAGGCAGAATGTTAGGTTTTAATGTTGTTTGATTTATTTTATCCTTTACTTTATTCATATAATGTCAAATATTATGACATTACCTATGTACAGGCACGGGTCCCCGGACCAGGGCTTGAGGACCCCTGGTGTAGATTGCTCATAAACATGTGCATACAATACTTGTGAGAAACTGCTCACATATTTGTATAGATATTTGTCTCTTTGTCACTTCACACACCCATTCATCTTTTCTGGGCCAGAATATCTAAGTGTTTTCTTGCCTCTGATTTTTAGGCAAACTTTCATTAGCCGTGACATGTTGAAAAAAAAAAAGCAACATTTTGTAACGTTAACAAAAATGTACCTCTTTTGATACGTCCTGTGAGCTTTTCCTCTGTCTGAGGGTTTTGTCATTGTCAGCTGTCTTTGCTCAGGCCTTAGAATTCCTTATGCAGCCATTTCACATTATGATTGTGGTCTAATACGGGGCGCCCCCATAACAAAACCTATTTTCATGAGCATATTTCAGATGAATGCCCAAGAGCTGTCTGCTTCACATATTCCGTCTCTGTGCCATAAGGTGAACTGTGGCCCTAATTTAAATAAATGAAACGAGTTCTCAGCACAAGCATATTTTCCCAAAGAGTTTCTGCTTCAGACAACAAATCGGTCTGAATTCCTCCCATAAACAAGTCTGCCTTCTTCACATGACTGCTCCTTATTTGTCCAAACACAACAACTGTGAAGCCAAATGCTTTGGATTATAAATGCTTCAGCTGCCGGATGGTTCTGGTACAATGCACAACTTTGAGGATTAATGCAAAGTTGGAGGAAAACATTTGAGAGCTACGTTGTTCTGATGGATTTTACCCACTCGAGATTTACCTGGAATACTGTCACACCATTGTCTGTGCTTTCATGAAGTGACACAGGAGGGGGCGACGTTAAACCGACCAACAAAGAGACCAAACCAACCTGCAAAGCCAACAAGCCTATTTGGGAGCCACATTTGAGGCTTGAGTTTAATCCCTGTCCCATGTGTTTGATACATGCTGACAGATTAGTCACGCAGTTCATAATTAGAATTCAAATATTCAATATCACTGAGCCCTGTACAGCACACAAGACAATGAACATGTAAACAATAGGTTTGAATAATAAGGCAGTTCAGTGGTACTTAACTTGGGGGTCAGGTCCCATCCAGGGGCCCCAGAGGTGGGGCACAGTGAGACGAGAGATGAATATATATATGTATAGATATACAGTATATGTGTGTGTATACTGTATGTGTATGTATAATTCTATAGTGTATATTTGTGAGCATATATTGTAGGAACTGAATCCTTCTGTGAAGTACTGCTACATGTATTCAATCAAAGTACCCTTAGTTTATATGAGTAAATATATATTCATGTTTTTAACCTAGGTAGATCACTTCAGCCTGGTTATTTGCAGTAGTTGCTCTCAGGCTGAAGAAGTGTGGACCCTCTGCCGTAGGCTTGTAGGATGTACTGTAGGATATTGAGGTGAAGTCCAAGGCAGTTAAGATTCTGCCGGGGTAAATACTTTTTTGTGACTCTCAGCTCCTCTCCAGTTACACAGATACTTTTTTTTTTGTCGTTGCCACTGCTCCTTCAGGAGGAGTGTAGTTTACATGCTTGTTAGCTCATAAATTAGGGCAGCATGTCCTTGCAGCAGAAAAGAGCTTGTCTTGCCAGCCAGGGACTGTCCTCAGAGGAAGAGGAAAATCCAATTCCAACAAATAGTCCTAATGGCTGTAAAAGTATCACTTCAGCACTTTGTGTTCAGCCTGACTGATGGCCACAGCCACCTTACTTGCCAGAAATAATAATCCCTCTGATATCTGCATAAATTTAAATCTGCCAATATCATTTACCTCCAGCTCAGAAGTCCTCTGACCTCCCAAACAGTTCCCATCAGCTGTGCTGCACCGTGGCAGAGCTCGTGAGGAAGATGCTGAGCCCATGAAGCTTCAGCTGACCTATTTGAAGGACACAGAGCTTCTCTTCGTCATTCGTAAACAGCCTCTGTCCAAATGATGTGTTTTCCATGAGGAGAGTGACAGCCACACTGGCTGATGGTAAATGACAAGCCTCTGCTGTCTCCTCCAGGAGTCGGGGGGGTGGCCGCCCGCTGAGCGCCTCTCTGACAGGGAGATGAACAAGCAACGCACACAGATTGAAATGTCTATATCAGCCACTCCCTGCAGGCATGTCCCCTGACCCAACACCATCCGTCTCCACTGCGGTAATGATGAGGCCGAGAGAGAGGAGAGAGGAAGGAGGCGTCCTGGGTATTCACACTGACCTCGTCAACAATTCACCAATGTCTCAA